GCTTCTTGTTCTTGACTGCCAGTTGATGTACTCTGCGCCGTACTTCTGTAGAGGCAGGATATTCCTTATTTTCCTTTTGTAGTTCGGGTATGTTCGTGGATGTATCCGTGCTTTGGCTTTCATTCGTCTTTTGTTCCGGAGTTAACATTTCATTTTGGGTTTTGTGCTCCGGCGTTACTGTGTTTGGCACTGTCGTTTGAACCTGTTCACTGCTTTCTGATTTTGTACCTGGACCCTCTAATAAGTCTCCTTTTCTGGGGGCCTCTGAATCCTCGTTTCCAATATCTTGTACTCCCAGTGGGGACTGACCTTCTCCACCCGTATTGTTCTCGCCAACACCTTCACCCTTTTCTGAAGCAGAAATGTGTGGCTGAGGCGCTGATGGCGGTTGCAACTGCCGTTTTGTTTCTTCGTCTTCTCTTTCTCGTTGTGGCTGCGGCTGCCGTTGCGATTGTGACTGTTGCGGTATTGGCTGTGGATGCGGTGACACATTTGCTTGCGATTGTAGCGGCTGTATTCCTTCTTGTTCTTCTTTTTTTAATTTCAGGTTTGTTTTTTCATTTCCTGGAGCATCTTCCACGGGTTCTTCCAAATTCTCTGAAGGGCCCCCATCTTTTTTATCCCCTCTGGAAAGAACATCCTGTTGATCGGTGTTAACTTTTTTTCCTTCCAAAGATTTTCCTGTAGATGTTCCTGTTGCCTGATTAACATTGAGCACATCTATTCTTAAATCTGAGGCGTCTGGAACTGGCTCTGAATTTCCAGCAGGCTCCACCGCACTGCTACCACCATTCCCTTTTCCAGCAGCAACCCCAGAATCCGCCACCTCGTCACATCTACCGCCGGCACCGCACCACAGCACGCAGAGGGCGCACACCAGCAGCACACGGCCAGTCATCATCACAAACAGCGTAGACAATTAACGCCTTGGAGCGAACCTGCAAGAGCATGGGAAAGCAAAAAGCGACACGCCCACTACACCACGCACAGCCACCGCACAGCAACAAATGGCAGCAGCAGCAGAAGCAGAGAACAAACCACAAAAGACAGATAGAATCAGCACGATTGCAAAACTCACATAATATCCTGCAGACCAAAAGTTTAAGAACCAAGCAAAAATTTAAGAAAAAGATGACAAACCCAAGACTCCAGTGAGCATGCACCTATCCTCAAATGTGTGTCCACGTACGGCTCCGCTGCGAATGCATACGAGTGTGGGATGCCTTCAACGAAACAGAAGTGAAGAACAACGCGGAGCACACAGCAGGGCAGCGGAAGAAAACAAAGCAAAACACAATCATCATAATTACTCTTACTTCATGCATCGCACCACAGTAGACGTACACATGTCCCCGTGGTTGAGTGCTGGCACGCACAGCCCGCATGCATAATTCTTCAGCCCACAGCGGTGTACGCCAGCGCGTATACGGCGAGCAGCAGCGGGGCACACACCCACGCAGAGCTGCTGAGGCTGCCGTCGATTTCGCAAAGACGTGACGGTGCGCGGGTGGTCTTCGTGGTTGGCGCCTCTTTCGCAGCGGCCCTCATCGTGGTAGGCATCGTATTTGATGTCTGTTCCTCAATTGAGTTCTCTGGCGCAGCAGCTTCATAATTGGTTCCATTTTTGTGTCGGAATTACGTGGTGTCTTTCCCGTACTTGCAGTATCTTTTCCCTTCAACGCAGGGGAGTTCTTACTTGGTGCTGGCGCAGCAACCGGGAGAGTTGTCCCTCCTGGCATGCCTAATGGACCTGTTTCTTTTGTCGTATCATGATTCGTACTTACTTCCCTTGGTGGAGAGGGCGGTAAACCGTGTCCACTTGTTTGCTGTTCCTTCCTGGAAACGGTTTCTTCGTGCACCGTAATGGAATCACTTAGTGACTGTTCCGTTTCATCCTCAAAACGTGTTCCGTCTCGCGTGCCAGACTCAGTGGATCAGTCATGCGTAAGTGTCGCAACTATTCATTCAGGAAACAAAAGAAGATAGACTGGAGTCTTCATTATCGTCAGCTTTATTTTTGCCTGCATTCTTTGGGCCACCCTCAGTTTGTTTCCTTGGCAAAGGAAGAAGTGGACTGGGGCTTGCAACACCTTCTTCACCTGCCGTCACGCACACAGACGTGCAGCAGCAGCACGAGAGCGCAAGGAACTGCACGGCGCACACCACACGGAGCCGCACCGTCACCGTCACCATCGCAGTCATCATCGCCCGTAGTGGAGTCGCTGGTGTCAGTCAGCTGGTCGGTGAGACGGAAAAGAAAAGAATGGAAAGAGAGGGAGAGGGACGAGGCACAGCGGATACAGCGAGAGAGCGCAGACAACATGAGGAGAGGGCAGCAGGCCCAGCCGCACAGTTCACACACCACGAGACGGCATCCACGCAAGGAAGGCACACAACGCCAGCAGCCGCCCACCATGCAGGAGGAGAAGACATCCACCACCATCTCCCCCAGCTCATTCCCGCAGTCCCAGGGAAGTGGCCAAAACCCCGCGGCCACCACACAACGCACACGGAGCAAGCGAACCCTCATCCATCCATGACGCGGCACAAAAACTTCCTGCCATCCCGCCCTCAATGGGACACGGAGCCCAACTCAGCGCAGTCACACGCGGTGCATCACACCCACAGGAAAGGAGACTCGGGCTGCGCGCTCCCTCTCTCCTCCCTTCTCCTCATGGCCACGGAAGAAGACAACAGCCGCCACACGCAACTGCCAGCATGCACTACAAAAGGTGCATTCAAATCCACTGCAATGTGCATCTTGTGTGTGTGTGTGTGTGTAGTTGTGTGTGCCTGCAGAAACACAAGGCAAAGAAGTAGAAAAGAGGGAGCAGAGTATGCGGAGTGACGCACAAAAATGTACAGCGGAGACGCATAACGGAAACAGCAAGAAGAAGACCGCTCAAACTCATGATTGCACTGCAGCCCAAGCAGTGGCAATTCACAAAATATTTATTTAAAACAAAAAACGTCCCCTTCGTCTTATATAAACCCCATCGCACAAAATAATTATAAATGAAAAAGAAATCGTCCATTACTGCTCCACACAAATTTAAAATAAGAAAAATCGCCTGGCAATCGTGTGGCCACACCAAACTGTCTGTATGTATTTTGCCCTCAAAAGAAAACAAAACAAGAGGGAAAGAAATGTGTGCTCCGCCCCACAGGCCCTCGTCGCACGCCCACACGTCACGGCTCCCTCAGCGCGCCGTTCGTCGCGGCCCCTCCTCATGCGTGCAGCAGGCGAGGCGCACAGGGCCGTCGCCATGAGCGTGTCGGTGGGTGTGCGAGTGGAGCAGTTGGGCGGGAAACACACGGCACCCCTCACAGGAAGAGTGCAGAAGAAACAATTAAAAGAGGGAAGAGTAGAAAAGAAAAAACGTCCACAGTGATTGCCCCAAAAGCAAAAAAAAAAAAAAAATAGGAATGGGGGTGTGAGAGATTAAAGAAAAAAATGAAAAAAGTAAAAAAAGAAGCAAACAGCAAAAAGAAATTTAAATACTCACAAAAAAAAAAAAAAAAGATTTTATGAAATAAATTTGTTCCTATGGGAATATTATTTTTGTGCTCGGGAGGGCGCAAGTGTCCCACGCGGCAGCCAGTCACTCCTCACAGAGCCGAAAACACCCACAGTCCCAACAGAAGAAGTAACGGCAGCAGTCCGCTCCCACGCACAGTGCCGCCATCACCCGTTGCTTCTCCAACGGCATGGGAGCTCGAAGCTGCCGGCACTTGCTGTTCTTCACTTTTCTTTCGAGACTGCTGCGAGGGTGCTCGCTCCACTGGAGCCTCAGAGGGTGATGCAATATCTTCTTCCAAATCGGCACTCCCACCAGTAAATGTCAACGGACGGTTGTACAATAGGACGTTCGACACGGTCACAGACACATCTTCGTCACCCGCTGTGTTCTCTGCATTGACTCCATCCCCTCCAATGTAGAAGTGAGAAATCCCTTTCGATTCTGTATTTTCCAAGTTACTTTGCACACTCTCACACACACGCTGACCATCGACGTACACGGAGCCCTGGGCGCCG